TGTCATTCATGTAGCCCAAAGATCTGTAGGAATTAAAAAGGGATGGAGATTCAAGCTCTGCAAGTTCCAAAACATCACTCACATTAATCATCAGAATTACACTGGTTTAAGATTCTCAGATGTATATTTCTTTTATTTTCTAGGGTTTGATTTCAAATCAGGGCTAGGAGACATTTTACATAAACCAGATTTCAAGAGTCTAAATTATAACGAATTAACTCAGTTCTTGGTAAACTCTACACCATTTACCAGGCTGGTGGGGTTTTGAATTTGGGCTTTGGGGTAGGTGTCAGGTTTGGTTGTTGGGGAGAACGGGCCTGTTGCTGTTGGTTTGGTTTTTTTGCAGGGGGTGGTGGTATTTCCTTTGATGAGGTTATTTGTATCTTTTGATTTGCAGCCGTATCTCTACAGATTTTATTGATAATTTTTCCCTATTTTTGATTTTTAAAAATACATTATTTTTATTGTTTTTGAATTGCTCAATTGGCAGAAGTTTAAGTTGACATATAAAATACAAAAAGTTGGTCCATGCCTATCCTTTAACCTGCATGTCTCAGTCCTACTTGACCCTTCCTCCAACGTAGCAGTTGCAGTGTCTTGAGCAAAGAAACAGCCTACAAAAACCAAAACCAACACAAGGCTGAATAAAAGAAAAGCAATTAATGTCAAGATGATTGCACTACATTTGCCTAAGAATTTAAGTCACTATTATACAATTTAAACTAAAGATAGATGTACTGTATGAATCAGTTCCACCGATTGAATGCTAATTGATCTAAATGCCCCCGTTTATTAATTTCCCACTGACATTTCCACAGCTGCAGGAAACTACCAAGATACAGCATCCCATCCTAGTCAGGGAGATAAAATGCAATCCTGCATCTTTAAAAACAGGAATGCTCTCCTGACTGAAAAACCTGCTCTGAGAAAACAAGGACTTGAGAACTCCCAACACGATGAAGGATTTGTTGAAAGGAGCAGGCAGATGCAGACTCCAGCCTGCTTCAGACCAAGGCAGGCAGTGCTTACATAACACTGAGGGCTCCAGCAGACAACTTACATAAGGAAAAATCTAAGGGAGCTTTAAACAAGCTTCTGGTCAGGAAAAAACTGTGGTGGAAGGACTAAGAAATTAAGGGTATTTTCAGCTGGAAACCATTACTACGTTTGCAATAAATAATATTGACGATTCAGGAGGAAATGAAGAATTATGAAAGCCCAGAATATCTTTTAAAAAAGAGTAGTCTCATCAAAAGGAACCTCAGAAAGCATAGACTACGCTGCACTTTCACACAACCAGATACTGCACTGATTTAAGAGCCTTACTGTATAACAACAGCATTCCCCAAAGCCTGCTTTCCAAAACTCTAATTGCAGCAGCTGAAGTGAGAGTATATTCCTGGCACCTAACCCTTGCTTTGCATCCCATATTTGAGGCCTGGCTTTGCCAGTGGACTACACTCTCAGTGTACAGGACCCACTAAGCACAGCGTTTACAAAAGAAAAAAAAATCTAAAATGTCAGGATTCAAATAAGGCAGATGCCTTTTGACAGTCTAAGGAAAAAAAAACAACACCTAAGAGAGAATTTAAATTAATTCTTAGGCCCCAGAAGTATCTGCTAAGTAGGTGAAGAGTATGAACATCTCTACAGCATCAAGGAGCCTTTCCAAATCTATATGACAACGGTAGAACCTCCAGAAAACAGACAAATTAGGAACGATACAGTCCAATACAGTTTGCTTCTGGATGTTTTCTTGTACACTTAATGGTGTTCCATGTCTTTGAAAGCAAGAAGTAGAACGTTTATTAAGTGCTAATTTCACCTCATCATAGTTTCTAAAATGACTTCCTGAACTATTATTTTCCAAGCAATTTGAAGCATTTGTATTTCATCTAAAGTCAGTTTTGGGAAAATTCATATATCCTAGATACTTCTAGGAGGCATAACAAAATACTTGGATAAGATTATCATAATGACACAAAATAATGAAACGTTCAATTAAGATATGGGAAGCAGTGGATTTTTAAAAAATACTCTCAAAAAGCAACCAAAATATTCTTAACACATCTTTTAAAAGCTCAGGAGGACATCAGTGCTGGTCACCTATTTCATGTTCACAGTACAGCAAGACCTTAAGAATTGCAATAACTCCAACAATATTCACAACTGTAAACTGGCAAAAAAATTCTATAATGGGTACCTCACATGAATTAATTTGCTCAATGAAATTTTAGAGTGGGTGAAATGACTCAATGTACAAAACATTTGGGCAGTAGAGACTGTCAATCACGACTGTGAGCGCATCCCTTTGAAAGCAGCACTCAGTGTGTGTGCTGACAAAATGAATCAAGTAACCTTTACATTAATTTTTCATTTAGCAAGCCTGTATTAAGCTAAATGGCACTCCAAAGCAGTTGACAGTTGAGGAATCTATACTGTCCAGATCCATAATCATAAACACATTTTATATCTTCACTTGTTTAAGGATGCTTAATTCATAATCAGGAAATGTGGGCTCCTCTGGTAATATCAGAAGCCTCACTGCTTCTAAAAGGGGAATCTTGACTTTAAAATGACATGGATTCTGATCACCCAGAGCTCACAGTAAATACCAAATATATTCTTGATGCCTGGCTAGTGGGGAGGGAGGGGGTGGAAAAAAAAGGCATTTGTACTTAGAGCCCTCCTGTGCTATCACCTCCTTAACTGTTGTGACAACCTCTGTCACTGACTTTGCAGGTTGAAAATACTTGCAGACCTTGAAGTTTGGTATGTTTCTATTCACACATGCTTACAAAAGAAATGCATTTTATAACAATATAAAAAAGTACATGCTAAAGTCATCTGTCATCCAGGCTTATTTGCCACAACCAGCACCAGGATACAGCAAGCTTAAATGGACAGAGACATTTTGGACTTCTAAATAAAAGAAGAAGAAACAGATATCTTATAAAAACTACTGTAACCAGAAGGAAAATAAAAATAACAAAACCAATAGAGCATGTGACAGAGGAATAAAAATGCTCTAAATACCTGTCAAACCTCCGTTTTGTCTTACCTCTCTCATTAAATAATGAAATATAAGAAAGAAAAACAAGATAGCTTGGAAAGAACATACACTGTCCACCTTCAAAACAGGAGCAGAGACTGGCTAGTGAAACAGAAAGGATGCTGATGGAAAGGTAAAATGAATAGCTTCCAATTACCTACAATTACAACAACCAATAGGAAGCAATCTTGCTACTTCAGAGGGAAAAAATACATTACAGAAGGGATGACAGCAGCATCTACTATGAGGAAAGGAAGGAGGATTAAGGATTCCATACTGATTCTTTGTGGATTTTAGCATGATTGCCACACACGGTACATTCCATATTCTTCCAGCAAATGTTGGGCTCAGTACTGGGTAGGTTTCATTTCTAAAGCCATTTTTGCACAAAAATGGCTGCGCATGGAACAGCTCCAAAGTTAAATAAAGATACTTGTTTGTCATGGCCCAATTTAAAAAAAAAAATAAAGCTTTTTAATAAAACTTGATTAAAAACTAATCAAAACTGAAAGCTCCATCTGCTTTATGAATTTAAGGTGTTCATAAAAACATAGACAATGTAACACTACACAGACTTTAAAGAATGTGAGCTGAAAGTATAATAAATATTGAGTGTCTAGATTTTCATAATAAAATGAAAGTTTGCCCAACATACTGAAGTGAAGCCATTTAAAGGCCTTGAAAGGCAGTAAGAGACCGCAAATATTTTTGTTCTTAATAGCTCTGTATTTTCGCTTAGTGAAATTGATGTTTTACAGTCCTGGGTATACAATCTGAAAAGGCAAGCTGCTAAAGAACTCATATGTCTTTAGTAATTACTAAAGCCAGTTGCTTTCATTTTAAAGGATAGCACAAGCTTTTTATTTCAGCTGCTACACGTACTGTTATATAATTTCACACATATATAAGCCTTTAGAAATAAATGCTACAAGCTCAAGGAATAATTTCCTTCACAATCAGACAAAAAATAAAATTAGTGTTACTCAGAACTAAAAATCATGTCTACAAGAAAAGAAAATCAGCAGAAATTTAATATATGGGTTGAATGACTGTTTTTGATCAGTGAATGTCTCAATGTTTTTCCATTTACATACTTCATTTTGAGAATCACATGTTAAATGCCCCAAAATAGCAGTCTCAATCTAACATATTCCTCTTAGTCTCTTCTTTTTTGCAACTGTTGTAAAAATAAACTGTCCACAACACCAAAGTTTCCTACAGATTGCATATTTAAATTATGACAGACTCTTTGATATATACCTAATACTCAAATCTGCTTTTTCATTATCCTCTGCCCCAATTATAGACTTGTACCAATTTCTCAAGTTTTTGCTATACTTCACTACCTTATTACCCAGCTGTGCAGCTGAGCAAGAAGATAACCACATTCATTCCTCTTATCTGTAATGATGTAATACATCTTAGCACTGGGTTGAGATGATTGGGGGAATAATGGGATTGTAAAAACTGCAGAGATGACAAACAACAGTGCAGCCGCCTTCTCCTGATACAGTGCATTGTGTACATACAGCCCAGGGTGAAAATAACACAATATGCACTAATTCTGCTCCTTGAATGAAGTTAACATTTTTCATAAGAAACAGCTGTTTCTGCACAGAAACATCCTCATCATCACAATGCAGCAACCAAACCAAACACCCGCAACCTGGGCTGAAGCCTAGCCTACAAGAAATAAGTGCTGGAGTTCACTTTCCAATGGAAAAAAAAAAAAAAAAAAAGTCATCCAAACAGAAAAATATCAGGTTAAGCAAGGACTCTACAGACAGTGCAGTGCAATGCAAAGAGTCATCAGGGACTAGTATGCAATACAAAAATAGATCTTGGACAAAAGCACGTACTGCACTGCTTTCCTGTTCATTTAAAAAATTAAATCTGCCTCCATTTTCTCTCTTAAAACCTTCCTTATTACAACCAAAGAAATCCTTACCTTCTGGAGGAGCTGGGAACCTGAGTATTTGGCTGCAATAGATTTGATCTCTCCACCAAATGCTGAGGCCCAGAGCTTTACACTGTGAAGAAAAAAAGAGACAGGAAGAAATGTAATACACATGTCATAGCAAGCAACAGAGACTGTAACAGCTTCAGCTGCACTCGGAAGGATCTGAGCAATTTTGCATTAGAGAGCTCACTGAGGAACCTGAGCACAGCAAAAGATCAGTGAAGCTGTACAAGTATAAGCACAAACTAGACCCCGTGCTAAGGTAAGGCCTCTGGTATGAAACTACCAACCTGAACAACTAAAATTTAAGGAATTAACTTGTTCAGAAACATGCTTTGGCACAATATCCATCGAAAGGAAAACAGCAGATAAAATGGCAAAACAGTTCTGAATGATAAATTTCCACATGAGAGAGTTAACAGCATCAATTTCAGTAAATGCAAGCACTTAAAACTCAGTGGCCACATACTCCACTAACACATGCTCCTACAATAAAATCAAAGTAGTGCCAAGCGCCTTGGAGACAACCACTTTAAATACAGCTGACAGAGGAGCAAAGGTGCCCTGGAACAGTCAAATATCTGCAATACAAAAACAGGAGCACTTGAGCAGCCAAGTTCTCATCCTTGAATATGGTCCTGAGAGGAAAAGCATGAAAGCACTTACACTGACAAGGGGATCTGCTGCTCCGATCCAACCACATCCACTAAGGCTGTGTTAAAAGCTGTCCAGAAGATAAAGCAAAAGCTCCCAAAAGCCCGAAGAAGATTCAGGTTCTCTGGCATTGTGCCTCTCTGTGCCTGGAAAGCTTTGGGGAAATTCAAGTGAAGCTGAGTTCAGCAGCAGTGGGGTTTTGCTTCTAAAAGCTTCTTTTCCCCCACTCTTACCCTCTTCCACTAGAAGGGGACACTGGAAAAGAAAAATTCACAGCTCCATTCTCATTCCTCCAAAGAATGACCCTCTCTGTGTAATGGAAGGAGCGGACCAGAAGCGAAGCTCTAATGACTTGAAAACTATTGTGTCCCTGGTAACAGCAAAGCGTTTTCCAGCACTACTGCAGCCACTTGCATGTAGTTCTTTACAACTCCGCAGTCAGCAGTGTGCTGAAGTTACTTCAGTGACCTACTGCTGCTCCAAAGTGCCCTTAGCAGCAAGAAAGCAGACTATTGATTCCAACTGGGGAGGCTGTCTTCTTGCAATTACTGCTCACTTTGCAAATGGAAAGCTGCCTAGAGTTCTCCTTTCCCTCGCCGATAACCTCCAGCCTTCATCCCGGATGAAGCCAGGCAGTGCACTGGTTCAGTGGAGCAGGAGCAGCAGCCTTTTAACGGGATAGCGCCGACACAGAGAGGCAGGCACAGGAGGAGCTGGACCAGAGGGAGGGCACGGCAAAAGCAGAGAAAGTCTGGAGGAGCTGAAAGTGCAATTGAGCCCTTCCAGGAAGGCGAGAAGAGAGCGCTGCACATTGCCGAGGGCTGAGCTTGGGAGGGCTCGGCAGGGCTGGCAGGGGCGGGGGCGTGGGGCCGTGCACACCCACCGGGGAGCGATTCGGGCAGGGCACGGCTGCGTGACAAGCACCTGTCTGTCACCCAGCCCGGAGAGGCGAGGCTGGCCGGAGCTGGGCGCCGGGCGGCGGGGACGGGAGCATCCCGGCGGGGACGGGAGCAGCCCGGCTCCGGGGAT